AAAACTGTTAACTATCTCAATCTCTTCACCATCCAAACTGATGCTGTCAATTGGCCCAGTGGTGAAAATCTTTGTTTTCTTGATGTTGAGCTTCAATCCATATTGAAGACTGCAGTCCTTGAACTTCTTCAGCAAGTGCTTCTGGTCCTCCTCAGTTTCAGCAGGGTTGTGTCATCTGCATAAAGCAGGTTGTTGATGATACTTCCACCAATCCTGATGCCACATTTCTCCTAGTACAGCCCAGCATCTCCGATGATCTGTTCTGCATACAGATTGAAAAGGTATGGAGACAAAATACATCCCAGACGGACACCTTTCTTGATTTTGAACCATCCAGTGTCTACGTGCTCTGTTTTGATGACTGCCTCTTGGTTCAAGTATAGGTTTTGCACTAGCACAATCAAGTGTTCTGGGATTCCCATTCTTCTCAGAGTCAGCCATAGCTTGTGATCCACACATTCAAAAGCCTTTGCATAGTCAATGAAGCACAAATAGACACTCCTCTGGTATCCTCCTTTCTTAGATTCCCCCAATTCACAATGTCAGTCTTGCTTTATAACAGTGGTGTCATGCAGTATTTGTCCTTTTGTCAGTGAGATAATTAATTCAGTATAATGTCTTCCAGGGTCACCCATGTTATGTAATGTTTTACGAGTTTCCTGTTTTTCAGTGCCGCTAAGTATTCCATTGTGTGAATATACCATAGTTTTTCTATCCCATCATTTGTTGATGGGCACTTCTCTTTGCTATTTTAATAATTCACCAGTAAACATAGGTGTACATACATCTGTTCAGGTGGTGGCTTTGGTTTCTTTAGGGTGTATTCACAGTAGTAGAATTACTGGATCAAATGGTATTTCTATTTCCAATTTTTTGAGAAAGTGTTAGCTTTCCATAGCGGTTGCACCATTTTACACTCTCACTCTCACCACTCTCCACAGCTTCATTAGCATTTGCTCTTTGCTGCTTTGTTGAACTTTGCTGTTGTTGCTGTGGTAAGATGATATCTCATAGTTGTTTTGTGCCTGGGCAAACAAGGCAATAGTTATTTTCCACAGTTTCATCTCTGTAGCTTCGGTGATGGTCAAACTCTGAGAAGCAACATACTGGAACTAGTTGCTGGATAATGCTGATATTCATTATACCTGAAGAAGTAGATCACGCTAAGCTGTCAGCATGTTTAAAGTAAATATGGATATTTATGACCATGGTTGGTCATGTGACCATCTACAAAACCTTTGAACTTCAAGACCCAAGGAGATTCAGCTGGGTAAGGACATTTTGGATGCACCTTGTGGTTGTCAGCTAGAGATGCCACTTTCTTCTTCGTATAATTCAGTTTCTCCAGCATACAGATTGACTAAGGTGATGCACACCTTTCCCGATTTTAAATCGTGCATGTCCTCGCCTTTGCTTAGATTTATACACCCCCTTCACCGCCCTACCTCCCCCCCCATCTGTTCCTACATCCCATTTTCTGTGGCAATAAATCTTAACCATGAATATAACCTGAGCCATGTAAATACTTCTAGGGAATAACCTACTTACTACTGGGTGGTTGTAGGGCTACTGAAGATAGCCATTATTTTACTTTGTTCCCACCGGAATTAGTGTATAATCCTTTTGTCACCTGTAAAATGTGAAGTGTCCTGCATTTTCAGCCTCAATGGTTTGGTGGAGAGCTGCTATGCCACTTGTAGTGCTTGCTGCCATCTGGTGGGAGCCCGCAAACAGGCTTCCTTCCACCAGCTCCAGAATCACAAACCCACAGGTGTGTGTATACATATTCGTTCTAAATTTAAGTATACTTAAGTGTTCCAAACAGATTTTCTGTTCTTTTGCCAGTACATGATATATTCAACCCTGTCCACGAACACCACACTTCAAAGTTTTCAATATTTCTTCAATTTTCTTTACTCATTTCCCAACTTTCACATGCATACAAAGCAATTGAAAATACCATGGCTTGGATCAGATACACTTTAGTCTTTAATGGGGAAATCCCTTAAGAAAACAACAAAAAACAAAAACAAAAACCCCAATAAAACCCAAAGGCATTTGCTTTGTTTTTACTTTGCTTTCTAAAAAAATTTTGAATAAAATTTTTATTTTATACTGTTTTACTTACAAAGTTGATATACATTGTTGTTTTTCATACCTGATCTTTCCTATTTTTTTCCCTTTATGCATCCCTCCCTCCACCCATCAAAATGTGCCACCCTATGGTTAAACCCCCCTTCCATCTTCACCCCTCTTCTCCTGCACCCCCCTTTGGATCCTCATACATCTTCTACAATAATTGTCTTATACAGTATTTGTCCTTATTGGACTGAGTTAGTTCACTTAGCATAATGCACTCCAGTTCCTCCCATGTTAGGTAGTAATTTATAAAATCAGTGTTCCTGCGTGGCACTTAGTATTCCATCTTCTGAAAGTACCGTAATTTACCAATCCATTCTATTGGACATTTGGGCTGTTTCCATGTTTGTGTGATGGTGAGTAACGCTGCTATGAACATTGGCGTACAAGTCTCCATTTGTGCCTCAGTTCTCATTTTCTCAGGATATATTCCAAACAGTGGAATAGCTAGGTCATACGGAACGTCTATATTCAGCTTTTTAAAGGAAACACCACATTGCCTTCCAGAGTGGTTGTATCATTTTACAACCCCACCAGCAATGTATAAGAGTTTCTATCCTGATACATCCACTCCAAAATTTATTACTTGCTCTCCTGTTAAACTTTGCCACTGCTACTGGAGTGAAATGTTATCACATTGTGATTGTGAATTGCATTTGTTCATGTGTCTGTTGGACATCCAAATATAGTCCTCTGTGAAAATTTTTTCCATGCCTTTTTCCCACTTTGTAATTGTGTTACCAGTCTTTTTCTTGTGGAGGCCCTGTAGGGTTTTTGTAAACTTTTGTTCTGACACCCCCTTCCCCCAGTCAGTAAGTTTTCTTTTCACTTTGTTTGAAAAATGTTTTGATACGCTTTTTAAGGAGGCTGTTAGTAACAGATTTGCCCAATGCAAATTTAGCTTTCTTGACTTCTTCTACCATGGGTGTTGAGTTTGGATATGAATGAACAAAGTCACGGACAACTTCAATCTTTTTTCCATTTATTATGATTTTGCCTATTGGTCCAGGTATTAGAATTTTCTTTTTCTTGATGATGATGTGTAATCCACATGGAAGACTGTAGTCTTTCATCTTCTACATTAAGTGCTTTGTCTTCCTTATGAAAGTCAAAGTAAAACCAGCTGCATAATGTAAATTGTTGATGAGTCTTCCTCCAAATCCTGAAGGCACATTCTTCATATAATTTAGCTTTTCGAGTTATTCGCTCAGCATACAGATTGACGAAGGTGTTTTGCACCTTTCTCGATTTTAAACCATTCAGTATCTCCTTGTTTTCTTCAAACGACTGCTCCTTGGTCTGTGTACAGCTAACTCATTAGCACAATTAAGAGATCTGGAAATCTCATTCTTCTCAGTGTTATATATTACTCATAGGGCAACGCTGAACCGTCATGATAACTAACTGGCCATGGTATCGCGGTCACCTGGCCAGAATAGTACTTGGTTGGTTGAAGAGGAGGGGCTCATAACAGTAATCGTATCCATAAAATCCATTCTGCTTCCTTGTAAAGATAATAGTTTCACCTTTTCTCACGAAATAATATTAACTTGACAATTTTTATGTCTGTCCTTTTTTTGTGTTTCTTTTAACAGTCGATAAACAATAATAAATGAAAGGGCTGGAAAAACGGAAGCTAGCAGAGGATGGTTTCGATCCATCGACCTCTGGGTTATGGGCCCAGCACGCTTCCGCTGCGCCACTCTGCTATCTAGTTAAGAGGTCTTTCTAATAATATACTTGATCCTGTCTACACGCGGGCTGTTGCATAACTTCTGTCCCCATGCTTGTTATATTAGTGTTAGTTACCAATTTATCTTTGGAATAGTTTTACCACTAGAGTTAAAGAGAAACAAAGCTAGAAGCATCAGTTGCTATCGAGTGAATTCTAGCGGCCATAACTCATAGTGGGAATAGTACTGTATTCCAAGGGATTTTAGGTAGTCGATTTTCAAAGCATTTTGCTAGGCATTCTAAAAAGCTGAAAAAGAAATACTGTCAAACTACTGTTTAAAATGAAATGTAGTTGAAATAGACATGAATCCTGGAACAGAATCCTGGTACTTGTGCGGCTGGCGAGGTTTCTACCATAAATCACAACTTCACACATAGTCGCCATTGGAAATATCTTTTTGGGTAAATTTTGCTTGGGTTGGTGGTAGATTAGGATGAAATGCTGCGGTTTTAAAACTCTGTGGAGGGGTTTGTTACTTCCACAGGAGCTTGGCTGCAGGGAAGGAAATGCAAAGGAAAACAAAACAGGACGTTCAGCGTGCCAAAGGAGGCTACAGCTGTTTATATCATGTTGGCAGTTTTCCTGTAGAATCATTTCATATGGCTAAAGATAATAATTTCAAGATCTAAACTTCCTTGTTGACTATGTTAACAATGGTTTAATTTGTTAACAATAGTTAAATAATATGTTTAAACTTGTTAATAGTTAAATAGTCCCCAAATCCCGTTTTGGAGGTACAAGAGCTACAGCCGACGCCTCAAGGTCGCCCTCTGGCGGGACCGAATTTATCAGTGACGTCATTCTGGGCTTCATTGTGAAGGGTGTGGCCAAATGCTCCAAGGCACTTTCCCGCGCGCGCGCGCGTGAAGTCTTCAATTAGGTCCGATACTTACTCATATAAAGAAGTTGCTGCCGGCTTTGTTCATTATAGCTGTTCTTACTGTGTTTGTTGAAGAAATGTCTGGACGCGGCAAAGGCGGGAAAGGTCTCGGAAAAGGGGGCGCCAAGCGCCACCGCAAAGTGCTGCGCGATAACATCCAGGGTATCACCAAGCCCGCCATCCGCCGCCTGGCCCGGCGTGGCGGTGTCAAGCGCATCTCCGGCCTCATCTACGAGGAGACCCGCGGGGTGCTGAAGGTGTTCCTGGAGAACGTGATCCGGGACGCTGTCACCTACACCGAGCACGCCAAGCGCAAGACCGTCACCGCCATGGACGTGGTCTACGCGCTCAAGCGCCAGGGACGCACCCTCTACGGCTTTGGCGGCTGATTTTTCTCCTGATTTTTCATTTTATAAAACCAAAAGGCCCTTTTCAGGGCCGCCCACAGTTTTTTGAAAGAGCCTAACATTTTAAGTCTGTTGGGAATCCTTAAGCTCTCCCAGCTGTAGACTAAAATGCGCTTGTTTCTACCGTTTAGCTCAAGGTAGACTTTAGTTTTGGGTGTTCGGGTATGTCAGTACGCTTGAGGAAGGGCACATATCCCAGCCTCACAATGTCTTGTTTCTGCTATGATTCTGTGGCTGCTCTTGAGTAGTTATATAAAGGTTGGTATGATTGTCGTTTGTATCACACTTGTAATAGATTCTACATCCGTTTGTTACTTTGATAGTTGGGTGGCGGGTACGCACGATGCTGGGGATTTACAGGGATAAGCACCATGGCAGCGACCGAAGCCGGGCTTCTCCCGCCAGCTCTGCCCAAAATGGCGGAAGGGCAGGAAACAAAGGGAAGCCGCTCGGGGCCGCCTGGCGGACAAAGCCGAGGGCAAACGTCACCTCTGGTTTGCTAAGGTCGGGAGGCAAACTCGGGCTGCTAGAGGGTCCCCACGCTGTCCCTGGGGAAGGCGGCCCCTCCGCTACGTCTACCTACCGTAGCCGCTGGTATAAGAAGAGTGGTGGAATGCAAACCAATATAAAAATGGGGAGAAAAGAAAAGAGCAGTGGAAATCCTGAGATGCATGTGGAAGGAGAGGTAGTATTGTTAAGCATAGAGATTTGATGTTTTTTTCCCAAATGAGAGCACTGAAAGATTTTATCTGAATTCATTAAGTTTAGATGGAAAAGAAAAAATCCACCTAATCACTCACTAAGGAACACAAAACTCCATAATAAATACTACTAAAACCCATAATAAAAATTCTACTATGCTCCCAAATCAGTATGGATTGATTATTTAAATGAAGATCTAGAGCATAGCTTTTACAATAGTTAAGTGAGAGCCAGTCCCTAGAGCATTTAGAACGGGGTATTGAAATGATCTGTGTTTTTAAATGATCTACTTTGCACCTATTTGGAGGCTGGGTGGGAGCAGTTAGGAGGCTACAGGGAGCAATAATATTCTGCTAAGGAATGGCAGTGATTTGGACCTATGTGCTGGAAGTGGAGACTGAAAAGTGAATGGAGTCTATTTTGAAGACAGGGAAAAGATTTTCTGAGAACTGATAGAATGGATGATAGAAGCAATTTAATGTATCATTCCACATAAAGATTTTGTTTAGTTATCATCAACCTAGTTTAAACATAGGAGCCCCCCCGTCCTCCAACTAAAAAGATATCAGGACATTTCATACCAAATAATTAAACATGAATACATAATAAAATCCCACATCTGGCTGCAAAAACCGATAGAGATGTCAACTGTAGAGATGAGGAGTCAGTCCTTTCTTAGAAATACATCATGATTGGAAAAGTAGTCATCAAAAAAGAGGAAGACCTCTGAGACGGATTGAAATAGTGGTTGTAACAATGGGCTTAAAAGTACAACAGAAACTGAGGATGTTAAAGGATCAAGCAGGATTTCATTGTGGTATACTGAATGAGTCACTGAATTGCAGGTGACTTGGTGGCATCTAACAACGGGAGGGGGAGATTATGAGGAAAATCCCATGCATACTTTTTTATATAGAGTTGGAAATGTCTGTTGTAAGAGGACGATATTAAATAGGTAGATAAGTTTCTGGGCTGGAAACATCATTGACTGTTGTCAAAATATAACTGTCATGAGATTTAAAAATCTACAAGATTTGTTGCTACTAAGTAAGGACTATTCATAAGGAATAGAACCAGTTCAAGATCTAAGCTTTAACACAGAGAAGTAAGGAGTGTTACTCTGTTTTAAGTGTGAATTCACATACAGTTTTTACAAGGACTTTCTCCTTTAGCCCCAGAACCAGCAGAATAAATAGAATCTTTGTTTGCGAGTATGGAAATTAATACTTTCAGTAATAAAAGTACTATATAAAATAGAAACTCATATTTAAATAATTGATAAAGCCATGGGAGACCATTTTTAGAATCCAGTGATAGATATACATACCCTTCTCATTATATCATATTATACATGTATGTAATGCCAGAGATTTCTCAGGCCTTTGAAGCTTATTTGTAGAACTTAAGTATAGGAGTTCTGTGTCTGACTTTGCTCTTTTCCCCTCCTTAGTTTGCCTGGCTTCTAATTTCTCTAAGATGGATGTTGAGAAAGAAAATCTGCTTGATTCTGCTGAACTGATGTTTGCTTGTTGCCATGTAGATACTGTGTACATGCTGATGATGTGGAATTAAATCACCAGCCCTAAAGTTTCTCCTGAATTCCACACTCAGAAAACCCAACTCGGCACATAACAGTATTAATACTGCCATCCCGAAGACATTGGGCTTGACCTTGTGATTTGCTGTGGTCAGTGAAATGTACATAGAAATGACAGAAGTCACTCTTGAGCAGAAACCTTAAGAGCTACTAATATGGTCTGTTGTTATTCCTTCCACATGGCTCTCAGGATGAACAATTCATGTGGGACAGAGCTTTAGAGCTAAAACACAGCCAGTAAACATCCTAAGTCAGAGACAAGTCTTTTGTCACAAACCATTGGGATTTGGAGATTGTTATAGCATAACCAGTTTAAGCATATGGATACAGTATCATAGTTATTGCATCTAAGTCTTCTGGAACTTGCTTTATTTAGAGAACATTTATGTTGCTAAAATTCATCTGAGTAAAAAAAAAAAAATTAAAAAAAATTCATCTGAGTAGCTATAGACTATTTTCACTGTGGCTTTAGATTTCACCACATGATTTTTGCTCCAGTAGATTTTCTCTGTTTATGCTCACTGGGTAATGAATGGTTGCTGACATGGCGGCTTTTCTCTCCCTACCCCCTTAATCTCTGATATGCTTTTGAGAATATTAAATACAAAGGACTGCTTTCATTGTGTGTGTTGTGTAATAATCCTCTTCATATAAGAGTGGACTACTTTAAAAACTGAAATAGTGATGTTTGAAATATATGGAAGTGAGGAGTAGACACAATTTTAGAAGAAAAAGTCATGAAATTGTGGCCTCGTAGCAAGAAGCTGTACTCCACAATCAACATTCTTGGTACCAGCAGCCAGGAAATTAAAAGACAAATTACACTGGGAAAGTCTGCTGTCAAGGACCTCTTTAAAGTGCTGAAGAGCAAACATGTCAGTCTGGACACTAAGGAGCCCTGATCCAGGCCATGGTCTTCACAATTACTTACTTGCTGTATGTCAGAAATCTGGACAGTGACTAGGGATAATAGAAGGAGAATTGATGCCCTTGAGTTGAGGTGCTGGAGAAGAGCATTGAATATCCCCTGGACTGCTAGGAGAACAAAGAGATTTATCCTAGAGAGGGTGAAATCAGGCTGCTCCTTGGAAGCAAGAATTCTGAAGCTGTGTCTGACATACTCTGAGCATGTTACAAGGAGGGACTAGTCCTTGGACAGGGACATCATACTCGGAAGGGAGAGGGCAAGAGAGGAAGACTCTTGATGAGATGGATTGATTCAGTGGCTAGAGGAATGGGGGTAGGTGAACCAGAGACAATAACCAGATAGAGCAGGGTTCAGAGCTGTTGTACATAAGGTCGCTATGAGTGCAAGCAACTCGACGGCACACAATAGCAACAACAAAAATGTAAAGAAATCACTATTCTAGCCCAACACAGCTGCTGAGAAGCTCAAGTGACTTAAAACACTTCTCAATTATACGATGAAGGAGTTTGGTTTCCAAATCTTTATTTTCCCAATGTTCATACATACCTAATATTAATAATTGTCACAGTTTTCATTATTCTGTGGTGAAATAAGAATAAGGCTAGTAAATTTTTCTTTTGCTGTCGAGTGACTCAGTCATTTCCAATTCATACTGACCCTCTGTACAACAGAACAAAAACCTACCTGGTCTTGCACCATTTTTATAATCATTGCTTTATTTGTGCCCATTGTTGCTGTCATTATGCAACTGTGGAGTCCATCCATCTCATTGAAAGACTACATTTTTGATAATATCTTTAACAAGTGTTATATTCTCCAGGGACTGGTTCCTCCTAATAATGTGTTTAAAACACGTAAAACCAATTCTTGACATCTTCACTTCTAAACAGCTTTTAACTGCATTTCATTTAAGATAGAATTATCTGTTCTTCTAGCATGGTTGATTTAAAGTTCTTCACCAACACTGCAATTCAAATGCTTCAGATTTTCTTTGGCCTTATTCATTGTCCAGCTTTGGGATTATGAACTTATTTTCCATTGTACTAAAAATTAATTTTTTTGACAGAAAGGATTTTAAATTATTTTCAGTTTGCCGTTGCTGCCTTTGAGGTGAGGAAAGAGTAATTATCTTATGAAATACATTTTGATAGCAATCTTTTTAGTTGCTTGACTGGCAGATTCATAAGCAGCCCTAGATGGCTAAATAACCAAGTGGTCAGCAGTTCAAATTCACTAGCCACTTTGCAGGAAAATGATATGGTATTCTGCTCCTATAAACATTATAGCCTTGGAAACATTGTGTTGCTGTTAGGTCTTGTTGAGTATGACTCATAGTGACCATATGAACAAAAGATCTGAATTCCATTCTATCCTGTGTCATCCTCACACTTCCTAACAAACAAGAGCCCATTTCAGCAGTCACCATGTCAATATACCTGGCTGAGGGTCTTCCTCTCCTTCATCGACCCTCCAACCTTCGTAGTATTATGTCCTTCTTCAAGGAATAGCCCCTCCTAGCAACATGCCAAAGTATGTGAGGCAAAGCCTCCTCATTCTTACCTTCTCCAAGACCATATGTGTTCTTTTGCTGTCCATGAGATGTTCAGTGCTCTTCTCCAACACCACAGCTAAACCTTATAGAATGGTTCTATTCTGTTCTATATAGATGTGAATACACTGCTTGACAACTTGTTTCCTCTCTATCCATAGAATCACATGATCATATTTTATATTTATTGTTTCTACATGAATTTTTTTAAATTTTATTTTATTATTATTATTGTGTGTGTGTGTGTGTGTGTGTGTGTGTGTGTGTGTGTACCGTCAAATCGGATCTGATTGGCACAGGAGGAGATTGACCCTCCTTCTCCAGCAGACCATCTGGTGAATTCAAATTGCATGCCTCTGGGATTGCAGTGCAGCTTGTTTCTACATTATTTTTATTGACTGTATAATATTTCATTATGGCTGAAAATTGTTTGTTGTCATACTTCTACTCCTAAGTATTTATGGTATTCCCAGGTGTTCACTAAAGACCAGAGATCTGAGTAATACTAAAAACCAAATAGAAGCTACTACCAACTGGATTTTTAATAATTGTAAATATTTGTAGAAAGTGAAAAGCAGCTTTCTGAGATGGAGATAGACTCCAGACTTGGATAAATAAGCGCAATTAGTGACAGTATGATACGTTTAGTCATGTTCCTGAAAGCTTTGGGATAGCTGTGGGATACTTGGTCAGAGGTGTATAAAAAATAGTACCTATTGCAATTCATTTTGATTTGAATGATCTCCCATAGATAGTGGTGAAAACTGCAGTTGCCAAAAATAACTATTCATTGGTATTTTCATTCCCCCACATGACATACAGACACATACCATATCTCTCTTACCCTGGATATGTTTTTGTATTCAGAACAGAAATATAGAAGGTAAAATGCCATACTTAATTATTTTCAACTTGTGATTTCTTTTTCTCTGGTTCTTTAAAAATTCTTCTCTACCCTAGTCAGACAATATCCGTACACACTCACACCTAATATAGATACATAGAATGTATAATGAGGGTAGATGGCAGAAGGTGATTGTTCTTTTTCAGAAATGATTTATTCCAGAAAAGAGAATTAAGGAAGTAGCAGCTACTTGAACCAGAGTCTGAAGATGATTTAATTTTGCGGGGAGAGGGAGGGAAAGGTCTCCGTTCTTAAGCTCATCAGGCTTTTGTCACAAGAATTCACACCACTTATTTCCTTTGAAGTGATTAGTGTCACACATGAAAGTTATTCAGACCAGTTTGGCTCTTAACAGCAGCCAATTTATATTCCAATTAAAGAACACACTTAGTAATTTGTAGAAGGAGCTCTTCCTGCCGCCTCAAGAAGCTTCTAGTTTGGAGTTACATGTTGTTGTCGTTGTTATGTGCTGTCACTTGTGATTCATAGTGACCCTATGTACAACAGTCCTATACTCTGCTCTGTCCTGTGCCAATCGCACTGCCTCTGACACACCCATCCCGATTACCCCAGTCACTGAATCAATCTACCTCATAGAGGGTCTTTCCCTCTTGTGCCGTCCCTCCACCCTACCAAGCATGACGTCCCACTCCAAGGACCGGTCCCTCCTTACAACATGTCCAAAGTATGTCAGATGAAGCCCCAGAACCCTTGCCTCCAAGGAGCAGCCTGGTTTAACTCTCTCTAGGATGAATCTGTTTGTTTTCTTAACAGTCCATGGTACACTCAATACTTTTCTCCAACACCGCAGCTCAAAGGCATCAATTCTCCTTCTATCCTCCCTAGTCATTGTCCAACTCTCTGATGCATAACAAGTTATTGATTGCAAAGACCATAGCCTGTATCAGATGCACCTTAGTCTCCAGAGTGACACCGTTGCTATTCAGTACTTTGGAGAGGTCCTAACAGCAGACTTTCCCACCACAATATATCTTTTAATTTCCTGGCTGCCAGTGCCAAGAGTGTTTACTGTGGAGCCAAGCAAACTAAAGCTGTGAACAATTTCAATCTCTTCACCATCCATTGTGATGCTGCCAATTGGTCCAATGGTGAGAATCTTTGTCTTCTTGATATGGAGCCTCAATCCATATTGGAGTCTGCAGTCCTTGACCCTCTGCAGCAAGCGTTTCAGGTCCTCCTCAGTTTTAGCAAGCAAGGTTGTGCCATCTACATAACGCAGATTGCTGATAGATCTTCCACCAATCCTGATGCCACATTTCTTCTCATAGAGTCCAGCCTCCCAGATGATCTGTTCTGCATACTGGTTGAAAAGGTATGGAGACAGGAAACATCCTGGTGTATGCCCTTCCCAGTTTTGAACCAGTGTTTCCTTGCTGTTCTGATGACTGCCTCTTAGTCTAAGTATAGGTTTTGCATTAGCACGATCTAGTGTTCTGGGATTCCCATTCTTCTCAGAATCAGCCTCCGTTTGTTATGGTCCACCTTTGCATAATCAATGAAACACAGATAGACATTCCTCTGGTATTCCCTGTTTTCAGCTATGATCCATCTACAATATTCTTAGTACCACGACCCCTTCTAAGCTCCAAAACGACTGGAACAGTACATCAGCAGAGAACTGTCAGAGTTATATGAGGGGAATGCAATATAGAAAGACAAAGAAATGTAATGATATGCAAAGAAAACAGAGAGAAGAGGCAAAAAGGCCCCTTATACATTAAAAGAGGTTTATCCTCAGTTCTGAGTCCTTGGGTGGTACAAACTGTTAAAGTGCTTTGTTGCTAACTGAAAAGCTAGAAGCTTAAGCTTTTGTAGGCACTGTTCTTTAGTTTATTGCTTTATTGAACACCCCAGCAATGCTATGCAATAGCTAATATTTATTATTCTTTTTTAGTGGTAAGGAAATGCTCAAGAGGGTTTAAGAAATTTGCCTAGCTCTTTCACCAAGGACCCGCCAACACGGGCCACATTTGCACAAAAACCGTGACGAAGGTGGCCCTGGTCATCATTGATAAATATTACACGCGCCTGGGTAATGACTTCCACACAAACAAGGCGAGTGCGAGGAGATTGCCATTATTCCCAGCAAGAAACTCCTGAACAAGATAGCAGGCTGTCACACATCTGATGAAGTGGATTCAGAGAGGGCCTGTGAGAGGCATCTCCATTAAGCTGCAGGAGGAGGAGAGAGAAAGGAGAGACAATTATGTACCAGAGGTTTCAGCCCTGCGTCAGGAGATCATTGAAGTAGATCCTGATGCTAAGGAAATGCTGAAACTCTTGGACTTTGGCAGTTTGTCCAACCTGCTGGTCACTCAGCCCACAGTTGGGATGAATTTCAAAACAGCCATTTGAGTCTGTCTGCTGTGCTGTAATATTTTCAATAAACTTGGGCACACCAGCCTTGCCTTTGTTAAAAAAAAAATGCCTAAATTCAATACTTAAAAGGCAGGCAAGCAGGTCAGTATTATGATGTCCTAGGAGACGTTTTCTTTAAATCATGCTTGTCTATTTTCATATGAATACATACATTTACAACTTTGCTTTTGGAGAAAAAGAAGTAAATGCTTCAATTAGATGAAGGGCTGCAGAAATTTTATTAACAGAGCCAGATTATAATTTGGATTTTAAAATATTCACAGCTATCTGCGCTGTGAATTTTTTTCCCCCTCTTCAGAAAGTCATTAGCTATTAAGTGGAAAATGTCATTTGGAGTCAGATTTACACTGGTAATGCTCATAGCTCCCCACAGTACCCTGAAAAATTAAACTTACTTTCAAAGAATATATGTATCACCTGATCAAGTTACCCTTTCTCTTATGCTTCTGAAAATGGGTCAGCAGACCCTCAATGAAATGGATCGATGGAGTGTCTGCAGCAACAAACTCATATGTGTCAAACATGATGAAGATGGCACAGGATAGTTCAGATCTATGCCCTTGGGGTCACTGAGTCTTACTTCAGGGCATATACCAACGCGAGGTTCAGGCAGGTAGAAAACATAGCGGATGAGAGTTCTGGACCTTGCCTTGTGGCATTTTAGTTACTTTTAAATAATCCAGGAATGTTCAGATATGTTCATTTTAACGACGGAGATAGAAGATTGCTTTAAAAGTTCTGTGGGCTAGGCAGCAATTTACTTGTTTAGTCGTTCTCAAAGTGACAGCAAACTACAAAACGAGTTTAATTTTCTTCAGTTTTTCTAATTATTTCATTAGGGTTATTTATGAAGCTAAACCCACTACATAATGTATTCTGACTGGTAACCTTTTATATAAACAAAAGTAGACCAGTTTTCCAGGTGGATAAATTCAAAGGCTGGTTATGTCAAAATTAAGTGTTTAGGAGTTAAATGCCCTTGGGAAATGTAGCCGCTTCAAAAATGCTTTGTGATCCATTAGATAATCGCTGTCAAAGGTAAAATTATGGCAAATAGAAACTGAAAACATCTGCAAAAGGCTGCAAGGACAAAATCACACCCAAATGGCAGGAACTGCCTGTAATGATTCACATGATCCTTACGTATGAAGTTACAGACCTTTAGTAGACAACATGGATGGCTCTTAAAAGAGCCTTTGGTTGTTAATACCTTTTACGCATATAGGCATTTACTTGGAACTTGTGTACTTGGTGACGGCCTTGGTGCCCTCGGACACGGCGTGCTTGGCCAGCTCCCCGGGCAGCAGCAGGCGCACGGCCGTCTGGATCTCCCGCGACGTGATGGTAGAGCGCTTGTTGTAATGCGCCAGGCGGGACGCCTCGCCGGCGATGCGCTCGAAGATGTCGTTGACGAAGGAGTTCATGATGCCCATGGCCTTAGAGGAGATGCCGGTGTCGGGGTGGACCTGCTTCAGCACCTTGTACACGTACACGGAGTAGCTCTCCTTGCGGCTGCGCTTGCGTTTCTTGCCATCCTTCTTCTGCGCCTTGGTTACTGCCTTCTTGGAGCCCTTCTTCGGGGCAGGAGCGGACTTGGCTGGCTCTGGCATTGTGAATCTCACACAAAAGAACCAAAAGTCAGAGTATATTCTGCTCAGCCGAGAATACCCTTATTATTTGTTAGGTACATATGCAAATCTGGTATAGCAGAACTACAGGTTATGATTGGCTGTTTTTGTAACTTGCTCCGCAATAGGTGAGTTCCTATGCCACATTCTCATTGGCTCTTTCCTGTTTAATTTAAATAACTTGACCTTTCACTAAGAAACGCTTTATGTAAATCAGGCTTCTTAGGCTTACAATGGGATTGGCTTAAATTTGAGTTACTGCAGTCTCATAGGCTGTTTTGTTGTACTACCGTAGGGTATAATAACTTAGCTCTTAGCCTCTCAGGCTACTTATTTCCGCTCTTCAGTTCTTTGGTTTAGTCCTCTACCCGGCTTATTAGTCATGTCTGGACGTGGAAAGCAGGGTGGTAAGGCTCGCGCTAAGGCAAAGACCCGCTCTTCGAGAGCTGGCCTTCAGTTTCCTGTGGGCCGTGTCCACCGTCTGCTCCGCAAGGGGAACTACTCCGAACGCGTGGGCGCTGGCGCTCCTGTCTACTTGGCGGCAGTGTTGGAGTATCTGACGGCCGAAATTCTGGAGCTGGCGGGCAATGCTGCACGCGACAACAAGAAGACGCGCATCATCCCTCGTCACTTGCAGCTGGCCATTCGCAATGACGAGGAACTCAACAAACTGCTGGGCCGCGTGACCATCGCACAAGGCGGAGTCCTGCCCAATATCCAGGCGGTGCTGCTGCCCAAGAAGACTGAAAGCCACCACAAGGCCAAGGGCAAGTAAACCAACTCAACAGTGCTCTTCTTTAATACCCAAAGGCTCTTTTCAGAGCCACTACAATGTCACATGAAGAGTTTGTAACTGGGATATGATATGAGAAAACTGGAATAGAAAACCTTAATCGGTTCATGCAGCATATACGTAACCATTGATCACAAACGCTTTGGTTAAGCTTGCACTTTTTGAAAGAAATTGTGCTAGCTTCTTGGTGAAAATGTTCAGGGAGTAGATTTGGGGTGGTCTCACAATTCAGTTTTGGGATTTTTAAAAATCAGGCCAAGTCTAAGCATTCTTAAGGTATTTGCAGAAATAGGCAAAATGTCATATTCTAGTCAAAACTGCTCTACACAAGCAATTGTGGAGTAGGTGACTAGCTCATTGAGGAACTGACTGAGCTGACTCCAGAGGGTTCCCGCGTAGCCACTGGTGGATTTGAATCACCAGAGAATTCACTTAGCGCAACTTCTAGGATTCAGCCACCCGAGTTCCTTCGTTAGCATTCATTAGATATGAATAATAGAGATGGGTGCCTTCAGAATCATTGGCAAAATGGTAGTCTTTACAGTGAAATTCTGAACCATTCTGCTCAGCAAAGGATATTCGGCGCTCAGTTAAGAGGCTGATAACTGTCCACCAATCAATCCTCAGTAGAAAGATGAAGCAGTCAGCTCCCCTAAAGTGCTAGGCACCATCGAGTTCCATAGCTGACTCTTCAGCGGATTTCACAGAGGTAGAAAATAGCAGGGGAAGAGACTGCCCATCTTTATCCTTCGGAAGAGTTTTTGGATTTAAACCGTGTTTCTTTAGTTTTTTCCATTGGGCCACCAGAGCGTCCTCCTAAATAAACTGTTGTAGTTACGTGCTCGACTGTACCTCAAATGTTTCACTAAGAAGGGAATTTTGCTATTAGGTCAAAGGTTGAGTGGAGATTCCTGGTAGTCCAGACAACTTTAAGTTTATCTCAAAAGTCCAGAGAAAAACATTTCTAGTGGGAAATAAAAAATAAAATTAGTTATTCTTAAAACATGATCCTCAGAATCTCGGACCTCATTTCCGACCTTTTGCGTCATAATGAAGATTTCCACAGAGAACATCATGAATATGGTATAGTTTGAGAAACGCTAATTTACAAATTGTCATCTAATGACCATGGATAACCACAGTGAAAAGAGGATAGGGCCGGTGAGAAATTCATCCAATCAGAGCCCGTACTTTTTGACCAATCACTGCTCTCATTTCCAGTCAATAGTTTTAATTCGCGAGAGCGTTGAAAACTTGCAGACCAATCAGAATTTCCCTTTGTCTATAAAAAGACTTCTCCCTAAACTTCCCAGTACTTTTGAAATTTTAGGAGATGGCTCGTACTAAGCAGACAGCCCGCAAGTCTACCGGCGGCAAGGCCCCGCGTAAGCAGTTGGCCACCAAGGCAGCCCGTAAAAGCGCGCCGGCCACCGGCGGCGTCAAGAAGCCTCACCGCTACCGGCCCGGCACCGTGGCGCTGCGCGAGATCCGGCGCTACCAGAAGTCCACCGAGCTGCTGATCCGCAAGCTGCCCTTCCAGCGCTTGGTGCGCGAGATCGCCCAGGACTTCAAGACCGACCTGCGCTTCCAGAGCTCGGCCGTCATGGCGCTACAGGAGGCGTGCGAGGCCTATCTGGTGGGGCTCTTTGAGGACACCAACCTGTGCGCCATCCACGCCAAGCGTGTCACCATCATGCCCAAGGACATCCAGCTCGCCCGCCGCATCCGCGGGGAGAGGGCTTAAGTTCTTAAAAGACATTCCAAAAGGCTCTTCTCAGAGCCACCTCCTGTTTCATGAGAGTAGCTGTCATGCACATTACTGTATTTTACGCTTGCTTAAGTATTTTGATATCTAAGTATCAATTTACAGTTCTCCACTTACTCCAAAGCTGCAGTTATCTAGGTCAATGGTGTATTTCGCCTTCTATGGCGAGTTGCATTATAAGTACTTTTCAGATTGTTAGGACATAGCATTTTGTAGATGGAAGCAATGTTAGCCACTTTAAAACATTTAAATCCTTGAATTCAGCTACGGTTAGGATTGCATGTAATGCATTAATTGCAAGCCTGCGATTAATTCTACATGTCAGGAGTCCATTTTCTTGAGTATTCCACCTGGCTTTCTTGAAAATTTCCTTCCAGCTACAACGAGTCATTTCCTTCCAGCTACAATGAGTCAAATGACTGATTTAGGAAAGCAAAGTCTCAGTGTCTGCTTTGAAATGGAGTATCCTTTTATGGTCGGTAATACGGTTAACAGGTTTTCAAGGCCTTCAAGAACTAGAGTTTTTGGTATTTTCCCATTGCCCATTCCCCCTCCCTTTTAAATCATAACTTCCAGACTCCTCCCTGCTCCCATGTTTTTCACTTGTTAAAACTGAATTTTGAGATATTCAGAGTGTATGCAACGAGGCTTAAGGATAATAAAACTTAGGTCCTCTTCACCTTGCTTCAAAATCACCAAATCAACATTGAACAATTGTATTTTCTTTCTATCCTTTTTAATTTCAACGCTGAGTATAATACCTCAATTTAAATGCACACATCTAACATTTTAAAACATTGCTATGATACCATCATTATTCCAACACCAATACTTTTTTCCCTTTCAATTTAAAAACTTATTCCACACAAAGTTTGGAGTTTGCAAGGTACCCTAAGACAAAATGTTCAGCTTTGAATTTACATTTGATTCTTGGACACGTAGAGGGGATACTTAACACATGCAGTATGGGATGAGGTGATAGCTCATTATTTTTTTGTCAATAATAATTACATCTACGGGAAGAGGGCATAAATCGTTAGATTGATAACAAACAGTACCCTATAAATTACTCTGCCAGCTTACAGCATCTGAAGTCATGATACAAACTGCAAAGTTATGGTATTGTAGCAGTTTACATGTTAAGCATTCGAGAAGCCATTATATATATATCTTATATGTCAACATTGTTGTTACGTGTTCCATAGAGTTGGAGCGGAGCCTCCGGTAGGCTTTCAGGAGCCATTAATCACACAGGAGGAAAGATTACCCATCCTTCCGCAAAGCAGCTGGTGGTCTTGAACAGCCTTCAGGACTGCAGCGCAGCTTCTTGCCACTAGGACAGGCATTTTAAGAAATGTTCGTCCTGGAGAGGATGAAGCAGGGCTGTTCCTTGGAGGCAAGGATTCTGAAGCGTCGCCTGACATACTTTGGACATGTTGCAAGGAGGGACCAGTCCTTGGAGAGGGACATCACGCTTGGGAGGGTGAAGGGACAGCGCAAGAGAGGAAGACCCTTGATGAGACGGATTGATTCAGTGATTGGGGTAATTAATGGGAGTAGATGTGTGGGAGACAGTAAGATTGGCGTAGGATAGAGCAGGGTTTACGGATCTTGTACATAGGGTCACTATGAGTCGCAAGTCACTTGACGATACATAACAACAACAACATGCCTTAATAATTTTGGTAGTGACACGCGTTGCTAAGCTTTATGTCCTCCACTTACCACTCCCTGATTATACATCCTGTACCTGGCCTGGACACCCATGAGAAGTCAGAAAAAATAATGACTCCTGAATGTGAATAAATCTCAACAGCCAACTACCAGGAACTTTGCCCAATCTCTGTATATAAACCCAATAATTGGTTCTCCTTGGGATCAGAACCGTTTGAACATTAACTGATGTTCTTGACTCGCGGGCTTAATAAAGAAACTTTGTTGACCCCTAAATTTTGGCTGAGTGTTTAGAGTCTAGCGTTTTCTGCCTCCAAAAGTCTGCAGGGGTGGGAGGTGAGTTGTGAGTTGCTTGCTACTTAATAGTAATGAGGTGTTTTTTTTTTGTTTGTTTTTTGTTGTTTTTTTTTTCAGGAAGCTCTGGAATACTCCTTAGTGAGTTATACTTCTAACTCAGTGACCTTGGATCTCAAGTAGTTAGAATCCACTGGTTACTCTATTTGGTGAGAGATGGGCTGTCTCCCAGTTAAGATTTACTGTCTCAGAAACCCGATGGAGAACTGCTATGAGTTGTAACCATGGTAATGAGTGAGTGTGATTGCCAGTTGCAAGCTTTTTGTGACACTTTCAGTCTTCTACAGTTTGCTAAATAGAAAAAAAGAAACACTCTACTAACTGCTAAAACAAGCAGAAATCGCTTTTCTGTAAAGTCTGCATGAGGAGATTACCTGACTTTCTACCTCAGAGCTATTGGTGAATTCAAACCACCAGAGGGGCAAGGGCAGGCTTTGGGTGGAACGCACAGTTTTTCACACACGAGATCAACAGAGCTTTTTGGATGGCGAAAAGAGATTTTAGTTAATGACTTATCTTGGTAGCTTTCACGAGTTTGGAAATCCACAGTTTATTGTCTTATCTTGTAGGCCTTGTTTTAACAGGATTATTTGATAATCTTTGAAATAACTCTATGGGTTACCAAAACCCAACACTAAATGCAGTCGACATGAAGTAATTTCCGACTTATGTCGACCTTTTGTCAGTTTCCTAATCCTTTCTAGAAGGAACGAGCTCATCTTTCTCCCAAGGAGTGGTTAGTGGCACAGTACCTAGTCTGTACTGAGTGATGCTGCTAACCCAAAGGCTGCCTGTTTTCAGTGGGTCCAATCCACTAGTGGTTTCAATTCACCATTGGCTCCATTAAGAAAGGTAAGCAGTGGTAGGGTAATTTTCAGAGGTATTGTATATAGGGTTGCAATGAGTGACAGGTGACTCAATGGCACATAACAACTACAGTAATGAAGACACTCCAACATAGTAAAAAGAACTACTTTACTTGCCCAGTAGTCTAGTGGCAAGAAGCTGCAATGCAAGCCCAAAGGCACCGTGTTTGAGGCCACCAGCTGATCTGCAGAAGGATGGATAATATCTCATGAAATTAATTGCCTCTGAACACCCCCCACCCCCACCCCCAGTCAGCTAAGGATATGGTACACAATAGCACTTTACATAGGAGCTCATTTGGATTGTCATGGATCTATCTCTGGGACTAGAAAATAATGGATATTGGGGATAACATATACACACACGTATTTTATGTAAAGTATCCAATCAATCAGCTAGCCATTCATTTTTCCCATCCATTCAACAAATTCTTTTTTAGTATTTAGCATATGTCTGACATTGTTCTAAATGCAGTGAATAAGATAGGCAAAATATCTTCTTTGTAGAATTAGTTATATTTTAGTTGTGAGAAATAGAAAATTAGCAAAAATAGATCTAGTATATCAGTATAAACAAATATTATGTTGTGTTGAGTTGGATGGAACCTCTGATGCTCCAGCAAGCTTTCAAAAGCAGTTAATTGCGTGGGAAGAGATTGCTCAATTTTCTTTTGCTGAGCAACTGGTGAATTCAAACCTCATGCCTTTGGGTACAACTTCTTTCCAATAAGCCACCAGAGCTCAGTTAACAGTGTTGACAAAACAGGCTAAAGGATAAGAACTAAAGGGTTTAGAGTGGAGAGCTGAGTGGTAGAAAGAAGCAATTTTAAAAGAGATGGTTGAGGAAGGCCTCACAAAGATAGAGCAGAGCTAGAAGCTTGTAAGGGAGCAAGGTCTTCATATATCTATAGGAAGATTATTGCAGAGATAAGATTACACAGATCTTGAATTGGGAGCATAGTCAAGATCATGGTCACATTCTGTTAAATAAATAAAACCAAGGCTTTCTGGGTTGTACATTCAGGCCTACATCTGTTTGTTGAAATACGCCCCTTGATAACCATCAGATTCTGGGATCTTGTTTTTTGCCAGTGCCTTCAGTGTAGTGTGAGCTTCTTTCTTCATTACCATTGATTCTTGATCAAATGCTACTTCCTGAAATGGTCCTGTGTCAGCTAATTCTTTTTGGCACAATGACTCTGTATTCTTTATGTCTTCTTTTGATGCTTTCTGTATTATTCAAGATTTTGCCCATTGGGTCCTTTAATATTACAAACCAAGACCTGATTTTGTTTTGAAGTTCTTTCAGCTTGAGAAATGCTGAGTAAATTCTTACCTTTCCCTTTTATGACTCCAGCTCTTTGCACATTTCCTTATAATATTTTACTTTGTCTTCTTTAACTGCCCTTTGGAATTTTCTGCTTATATCTTTTGTTTTGGCATTCTTTCCCTTTGTTTTGGCTTCTATATTTTCTAGTGCAATTTTCAGAATCCCTACTGACATCCATTTTGGTCTTTTCTTTATCCCCTGTCTTTGTAATAATCTCTTGCTTTCATCCTGGGTGGTATCCTATGGGTTTTGCTGTGATGTTGGAAGTGGTTAGTGGGTTTTCAAATATCAGCAAGGTTGTTCATGGTGGACAGGTTTTAGCAGTTTCCAGATTAAGACAGACTAGGAAGCTCTGAAATAATAGATCCTTAAAAACCTGTGAACACTAGAGGAGTGCAGTTAGATATATAGCATGGGAGTTAGATCCCTTAGAGAAGAATATACCAAATATGAGAAAAACTAAGTGCAAACAATCATGGATAATTGGAACATGGAATAACGTATGAAGCAAGTTTTTGTTGTTAGGTGCTGTTAAGTTGAGTATGATTTATAGCGGCCTTATGGACAGCTGACCTGATCCCTGCCCTGTCCTGTGCCATCCTCACACAGGAGCCCCACCCATTGCTGAAGTCATTGTGCTAGTCAATCACATTGGAAGTTTTTCCTCTCCTTTACTGACCCTCAGAAAGTACAGCTGGGATGCTCCTTAAAGCAAAGATGAAGAAGCTTCATCTTCCATACTTGGGACA